CTCACAGGCACAGCTGATAAAGAGAAGATATGTGTTCCTCCAGCAACACACTGTGAGTTCACTGACAGTTGTCACGGCTGGCCAGTGATTTGCAATTCTTTGTAAATTTGGCATTTTGGAAACATGCATCCTCAAAGGAAGTGACTGCTTTAATTTCCCATGGGGTCACACTTCCATCTTCTGCCCAGCTCTGAGAGTCCAAATGTGGTACTCTGCACTTGGGAGGGTCTGGGTGCGTCTGTGCCTGAACTCTCTGGGGGAGTAGCCGGTTCCAATCTGGCACCTGGAGCAGGTGTACCCTGGGGGCAGGAGACATCTCAGCCCTGATCCAGCTGTGTGGGGGAAAGGGACATGGCCCTGCCCCAACCTGGCCACATGGGGCTTGTGAATTTGGTAGTAGGGGACTGTGGTATGAATGGCCGCTGCTCCCACAGTGCCGTATTTCCTGACCCATAGGGAGCCCTATGGGCTGGATGCCATAGCTCCTCAGGCTGGATCTGCAGTGGGGGCTGGAGGCTAAGTATTCCTGGTCTAAAAACATCTAATCACGTTCCCCCAGTATATCATGTCTTTGTTAAAGTAGAAACACCCTACCCCACAGGGAAAAAATGTTATCTCTTTCTCTCATGCACTCACACATCCATTACACTACATATTATTATTCTATTGGGAGAAGGGAAAAGGGAGTGTAATAAGTGTTGCTCCCAAACAATACTCACACTGGAGTCTGGTTACACAAAGGCTGATCCCTAGGGCACCACTGGCTTGTATCCACCTCGGCTATCATACAAATGTAGCTATTCTTTAATTGCCCACCTGAAACAGCTCCTCTTGCCCAACTGGGCAGGAAATTATGGATAAAAAAACGCAATAATCAATCTCATCAACTGCAGGCGGTTGTGAGCACTCTGTTTTTTCAGGTCCGTGGGATCTTTCATGATGACTGCCCTTAATGCCCATGCCACTCTACTGCAATGAGGCCAGCAGGCATGCAGTGCAGTAGCCCTGGCCTGACTGCAGGAGCTCAGGACAGGGACTGAAGACAGCTAAGACTCTTGTGGGGGAATGGGGCAAGGAGCAGGGGCCTGAAACCAGAGCTGGAGCAGGAAACAAAATGCAATGAGGTGGTCTCAAGGGGTCAAGTTCAGGTGAACAAGAGAATCAGTTTCTTTTTGGCCCTGGGACAGCCCAATGCCACGGCTTCTATAGCAGCAGCCTCCTCCCCCCGCCTCCGTGCCCTGTGCAGGGCTCCCCTCCCATCACCCCCCACCCTGATCCGGGCTCAGCACTAGGGAGCTACAGGCACTGCCCTCCTATCCACCTCATGAATAATGAATAAGGGAACCTGCATATTCATAGTACAAATGTTACTCCTATTGCATAGAATTAGTAATATCATTATTAGTGCCTCATTGATGGGGGAGGTGAGTCTGAGTCCCATGTCTGGAGTTGGGGATGACCAGAAGAAAAAGACTCCATGGCACTGGAAAGCTTGTCTAAGTCTGTCCCAGCCTTCCAGGGGGTCCAATCGAAGTGGCACTCTGATTTTGGATATGTCTTCTGACAGTGTTTCAGGTCTATCCCATGGGAGACAGGCAAAACAGGGAAGGAGAGGGTGGGGTTTTGTTGCACTTCAAAGAGATGTTTGCCATCTCTGCCCCTTCCCTTGCGCCACCCCACACACAGGTTTCTTTACATTTTTCTTTGCTCATGTTGGATACTTCTGTGCTAAGATTGGCAAAACTGAGAAGGGGAAGGTCATTCTTGTACCACATCTGAGGTGATACCAAAGACACCTGGATCCTAATTTCTGGGCTTTATTTTCCTTCTTAGTCAAGTGGACCCCACCAGGAAGCCAAACAAGCTGAACATCCACCTTATCTAAACTGTGTGGTCAGAATGTTACATCTTGGGAGATGCTTATCTCCCTCTTAAGCTATGTGCTATTTACAAGCAAGAGAGCATGTCAGTCCTGCTTTGCTTACCTAACATCAGGGATTTATTTTTATTTTTTTTTTAGGTTCTCAGGCTGACCCCACTTTCCTGGAGATTTCATTAGTATGACAGGTTCAAGGCAGGGCAGGGTGACACCTTAGGGCAGTGGGGGATGACCTTTTCTGCAGGCATGCCACAGATTAAACCCTGTCCCCTCTCTGAGTGCCACTTCAATTCCCTTCTCATTCCTGATCCACTTCTCTGCTTTCTGCCCCTTCCTTGTGCTCCCTGTCCAGTCTACTGCTCTGCTTTCAACTCCCTACCCTATCTATCACTGCTCTCCAACTCTGGACAAGGCTGGAACCAGCTGTGCTCCCTCCTCAACACTGACCCTGGCACCAGGTGCCACAGCTCGCAAATTTGCCCATGAAACTATGCAACCCTCACACCTGGAGCCCACATCTTCCCCACTTCATGGCCAGCACCGTACAGCCCAGGAGCACCTGTCCCCAGCATACCAGGGTAAGCCAGGTCTCCGTCTCTGGCAGCAGATGGAGGGAGACACAGGGCACCAGGACTTGGAGAGGGTGCCGTTCCTGCTACTGAGTCGATGGAGTAAGCCAGGTCTCTGCTGCTGGCAGCTGTCAACCGGCTCTGGTGTGGTCCTAGGGCTGGGACTGAGAATCAGCTGATTGTCCATTCCAGACCCAGCACCACAGCAGAATCCTGAACTTACATTATCATCATGGAGCAGTACCATGATAACTGAACATGTGTTACTTAGTACGATCTGGAGATGCTCCTCCTGCTAAAAGTTTTAACCTTGCTAGGATATGATTGCACCTAGCATGTGTTTTACTGCTTGAACATGTAGATACTTGCATTTTAAATGCACATCCTAAGTGTAACTTGCAACATGGTCCTACAGTACCACCCTGCCCTGCCTTCTGGCTCATTTCAGACTAACACAGCTAACTACCTGTTTCCTTTGTGGCCTTGTTACATATTACACTTAGCACGTGGTAACTGCCACAGGGTACCCAACATTTTTTTTGAATACCCCACTCTAAGGGCAGTCTGCCCCACTCTCATCTGCCATGCCTTGATGTTTAGAGATATATAGATATATGGGAGGCTTCCCTGATCTTATTATAATGACCACCTGAATTATGATTGTGGCCTTATGGGCCAATCACATGGCTCCATACCTCCCCAACACCATGTCCCATGCCTCGCAGGTGGCATCCTTACAGATGTTCTATTTATTGGCGATACAGTCCCTCACTGGGCCTTCCAATCCCTTGGCCTTTCTCAGCCCCACTCTGGGCCTTCTGACCCCTTGTTTCTCTCTCAGTCCCACTCAGGTTGCCAGACTCCTCAGTCTCTCCTCTGGCCTCTCAGTCTCTCACAACCATTCTCTAGGCTATAAGGCCCCTTGGTCTTTCTCCCAGCCCTCTCTGTCTGCCGGCCCCTTCTGGTCCCCTCATCCTGAACCCATTCAGTTCTCCACTTTCTCGGATGCTCTCTAGGCCCTCAGACCTGTCCAGTCCTGCACTCTATTCCTGGCCCCTCATTGGGCTGCTGGACCTCTCTGGTCTCACTATGCTTGCTGGACCCCACTAGATGCCTCAGGCTATTCACTGGGCCTGACTATCCAGCCCCTTGGGCCCCTCTGGACCTGCACTCCATTCCCAGCCCCACACTGGACCACTCTGGTCCCGCTATACTTGCTGGGCCTCACTATAATCCACAGACCCCTTGCTGGGCCTCTGGGCCCACATGGTCCTGGTAGGGTACAGTTTCAGGTCTTACCCAGGGCTGGTCCTCAGGCCTACCTTATTTTGCCTGTGCCTCTTGGGGCTCCCCCTAGATGTCCTATACCCTTCCTGGGCTTGGAACCAGCAGCCCCCTGGCCCTGGCTCCATCTCCACGCTGAGTCCCCCCATCTCTGGCCCCAGATCACCCTTGGACCCCTGTCCTTGATCCCTCTTCCTCAGATGGTCTAGCTTCAGCCATGGTCATCCCAGGCTGCACACCCCTTGACCCCTTCCTCTAAGCAGTGGCCACACATGGACCTTCAGCCTCTCCTAGGCCCGTGTCAATCACAGTGAGCAAGTCCAGCACTGAACAAAGATGGACACTGAATTCTCCACTCCAATTCTAGGGCAGGTCTGTTTGCAGACGCCCCATTAGGAACTCATCAATGAACAGGTACAAGCACCTTCAGGCTCTTTGTATGGACAGGAGCCTGTGCAGGGGTCCTGTGCACCAGGGAAGACTGCTCTGCAGGGTCAGGGACCAGCCTAAGTGCATACACATGTGCATCAAAGTCCCAAATCAGGCAACAAGATCTCTCTCAGCCTCTCTGGCACTACTGTGACCTATGTGGAGCGCAGGAGAGCTGGGGGTGCCTTCATAGCACAGGTGTGGCCCATGCCAGGCCCAAACAGGCACCTCTCATTGCACATATGTCCTACCACACACCTTGGGGGCAGGAAGAGGTGTGGGAGGGAAGGCAGGGCATAGAAACACAACCAGGTGACTGCAGAATAGGGACAGCCATGACTTCAGGTTGCAACATCATCACCATTGCAACTGCAGTTACTTGGCTGCCAGTAACAGCTGCTTTTTCTCACATCCCACCCCACTGCCCCCAGGTCAGTGCCCACAGTGGTTACCCCAGATGCCCTACTGAAGTTATGCCACTGGAGGCAAGAAGAGAAGAAAGGGCAATGGAGCTGCTGCATTCTCCTTGCCACATAGCAGAAGGAGCATTGGGAGGAGTAGCGGCCAGGCAGGAGCCCATGGGCCAAATGTTATCCCTTCATGGACTGTATGTAGCCCATGGGCCCTGAGTTGGATACCCCTGATTTAAGTGATTCACATGGATCAGGGGTCAGGTGCCAGGCAGAGTTTTGCTGCTCTCCTTCCCAAAGGGCCGTGCCTTTCTCACCTTTCTCCTACGGAGATGTCACGGGCAGCTTTGCTTACATGACAAGCAGAGCCTGCTGCAATTCTCCACTTCCCTCTTTTCAGCACTTTCCACATTTTATGTTGTTTTCCCAGAAGAACTTTATTGGGGAGCTCAGAGCACTTCCTGCAGGAACTTTCTTGCTGCCCTCCCTGAGTATGTCCCTTCCAGCTGTAAAGGCTCCTCTCATCCCCTCTACCAGCCATCCCTGGGAGATGCCTGCAGCACAGGACAGACTGTCTCTGGGCACCCATCCTGCATGGGAGGGGTCTCTCTTCAAATAAAGGCTGCTGCAGCTTCACAAATTCGATTCAAAGAAGTGGAACAAGGAATGTCATTCCAGTTTTGCCTCGCTTGTGTTCTTGAATGCACCTGTAATGCAGTGCACTTCTCCCTCTTGGGAATCCTGGGCTCCCCAGGTATCCAGAACCTGCAAGACAGAAGCCCCAAGGTCAGGAGCTCACCGCTGGGAGGCTCACTGGGGAACAAGCTGTGAGTGATGAGGATGGAGGGAGAGGGACAACTGCAGCCTGTGATTCACCCAGAGCTCCACCAGCTCCCTCAAGGCTGCTCCCTGAAACGGACTACATCCCCCTGCTCACAGTCCCACCACAAACCTGCTCCTTCATGGGGATTTTACTCCAGGAGGGGAAAGTGCTCACTTACACACATGCCCAAATGAACCCATTACACCATATGGTGTGGGATTAACAAGGGGAAGGATATAACCACCACGCCTCCCCAGTGATACTCACGCAGCAGTCTTATTGTACGGGGTCTGATCCACCCAGCGCCACTGGGCTTCCACCTCCTGGGCAGACAGACCAATGAAGTAACTTTGCCTGCTTGAAAAAATGTCCTTTGTCCAATTGAGCAAGAAGTCCTGGATAAAGTATGAAAGTGAATATTGCTGTCACCAAGTGCAGGGGCTGAGCAGACAGCAGGAGGCAGCATCCCTGCAGAATGGGAGCCCAGGGGAAGACCAGAGCAGAATGAAGATGGAGACAAAATTCCCATTCGGATACAGAACAGGCCTGAGTGCAAGGAGGTCCCACCCAGGCTGGCTGTGAACTCACAGGGGACACCCCCGTCCCCCCACACACAAGGTACCTGCTCAGCCTGTGTGTTGATCACCACCAGGTGGGAGCCCATCCCCATGCAGTTCTTCTCACTTTCATCCCAGGACATGCTATCACTGGACAAGAAGTAGCAGGTGGCCTGAAAGGGCTTCCAGCCCATGGGGCAGCATGTCCAGACCCCCTCTGGGAGGAGGGAGAATGCAATATGCAATAACATTCCTTGTAGTGTAGGTGGGAAACCCCTGCTGGGCTGCCTCTTCTTCACCCTCTGCACATTGTTTCTACCACTTATTCTGAACAGTTTGAATATCTCCTGCCTCTACTCCTTTGTGTAGACTGGCAGAAAGGATGTGTTGTTAGAAGCTGTTCTCTAACAAAGGCAGAAATCCAATCTAGGCTAACACAGGTTAGTTAATGTGCTTTCAGATCCTCATCTAGACAAAGCCACAGAGCCTCCAGTAATGTGGTTTCCACCCTTTTCCTTAGCCGTGGTGATTTCTGATGGTATCTATATTTATACTCGTGAGCCATAGTTTTAATCAATAGCATACACATTAATAATTATCTGTCTTCTATCAAACTATCCATCTAAGTACTAAGTCAAGTCTAAGTTTGAGGATTCTTTTAGTTATACTAAGTTAAAACCTCATTATAATACCAAGAGTAAAGCATACTGAAAACACAGGACTAAGGGGAAGATTCATTTAATGTCTAAAAGGCACATCCTCTTTTCCTGGGCATGGTTGGTACTGAGTGTCTTCGCTTACTCAGTATCTGGAGCACTTTGTTGAAAAAGAAATTAGAAGCTACTCTGCTATGTGTTAATAAATATACAGAAATAAATAATTGTTGATGCCTGAAGTAGCCTGCTAGTTAATATGACAGACGTAAAGACAGACAGACAAGCAAGCTATATGAATTGGAGTATTCTATTGACACATTAAGCCTCCTACATTGACAATTGGGTACAGATGAAAAGATGGGCAATGTTTTGCCTGTGATGCTGGTTAGTATATTCTTAATTCTTATAGTCCAGGGGTGTCAGACTCATCTGGCCCCATGAGTGGTGTGGCGCTGGTTCACAGGCCGGATCAAGCCCATGGACCCCCTGCCCATCTGCTTTTCTAGCACATGTGGCAACTTGGCCTGACTAAGTGCTATGGGCAGCACACATCCCAGGCACTGTGTGCAGGACCAGTGTAGTGCACCATGTGGGCCAACTTGCCAAGCACTAGGGGCTGGATTATAAGACTCTGGCAGGCCAAATCCGGCCCATGGGCTGTATGTTTGACATGCCTGTCATGGTCATTAAACTGACTCTGATCATTAGCTTAAGCCTCACTAAGTGTGCATAAAACTCATCTTGAGCTCACCTCCCCTAGTAAGTCAGTCCCCCCAGCATCCTATAACTACTGTCAGTCAAGTATTGGATGTGTATGAGGCCCCCAACCCTATATGCTGATACTGGGGATAATTCCCCACTTGCCCTCTTTCTTTTACATACTGACTGACCTTTGCTCCCAGGTGTCCCCAGGGCACAGCGCCACTCTGGAAAAGTCTCAGGCAGTTTGTGAGCTTTCAGGCTCTGTTTATGGAGGATAACTGCAAAAGAAGAGGAACATAGAAGTCTCAGTACAATATTCCTCTTCCCCTTCTCATGTGAGTTACCCAGTTTCTTCATCTTCTGGCAAGAAATGATTCCCGCCTCTCATCCCCCTCTCCCTAACATGCACACCTTTTGGCTCTTCATTATGTTTACAATGTCAGCAAACATCTGTCTTTAGCTCCCTCCTGATTGTGGAGAGAAACCGTATAATTATATACCCATGAATCTCAGTCAAGAAAAGGAAAAGTTCGTGACACACATGGATTAGGTGAAGCTGGTTTTGACTAGGCTCTAGTGACAATCTTATTGAACTCAAAAAATTATCATTTTTTTCCAGTACGAAAGATACAACTACAATCATAGGATGAAGATATTATAGACTTTCTTATTCTGCATCAAGATGAACCAATCACTGGATCAAAAAACTGCTGATTACAGTCTCAACCACTCATATCCATGGTTCTTTCAAAGGGTTACTACTTTCCCAAAGCCAAGAAAAATATCAGCAATATTGATCATAAGGAGCAGTTTAGAAATATCTGAATGAAAGCTGGCAGTTGCTTAAGAAATCACAGAAAAGTAGGGCTGGAAGGGACCCCCATAGGTCATCTAGTCTAACCTCTGGTCTGAGGAAGGATCATTCCTATCCAAAACATCTTATAAAGTCCATAGTAGATGGGGGAAAGGGAAAAGAAAAAGGACACCCTTGCCTAAAAGCCCAGCCTGATTTAATGGCAAAATGCCAGAAGAAATTAGAAATTAAAAGCATCATATAGAAAAAAAGAGCAATGCAGAGAAATAGATAGCAATCAATATAAATTAAAAATTGTTAACTACAAAACAATGATAAGGGAAGCTAAAGGTATCAGGAAAATTCTGTGGTAGGCAGGGCTCAAGACTATACAAAAGACCTTTTTTTTAAGTATCTCAGGAATAAAGATATCCCAGTGACTAGGCCCATAGCTAGGTGTAGGTAGAAATATTGTTAATTGTGATATAATAAAGGTAGAAGTGTTCAGTAAAAACATCTGTTCTGCATTTGGAAAGACAGAAGGTAATACTCATTTCACACTAGTACAATGAATGGTTTACCAATCCATCTTAAAATCAGCAGGTTCAGATTATTTGCACGTAAGAGTCTTAAAAGAGTTCAATGAGGAGATCGCTGGCTCACTGACATTTCCTTTTTAGTAAATACTAGAATCCAAGCACATTTCCTGAAGAGTGGAAGAGTGCTTATGTTGTTCCAGCAAAAAAACAAAACAAAATCAGATCATTCAACTAATCATAGGCATTACATACAACAATCTAAGCAAAATTTTAGAAGAACTGGTATGAGAGTCAGTCAATTAAAAAGAAAAAGAGTATAGTAATGGAATGAATGCCAGAAAAGACATATTTGGGTCAGGGGGAAACATTTTGTCAGACAATCCTGCTTTTATATATGGATGAGATTACAAACGTGCTTGATAAATGACAGAAAGTAGAGGTGACCCACTGTTTTGTAAGGCATTTGAGTTATAAGGACATGATGGGATTCATGTTCCTAGAGTTAGTGCAAGGCACCTTCTGACAAACTGGAATGAACTGAATGTGTCAGACGCTGACAGAAAGCATCCCATTGTACAAAAGAAACAAGCTGAAGACATTTTGGAGCCACTGCTAAATAATCTTTGCTAACTCGGTTTACAGGCAAGGGTCCCAGAGGACTAGAGAAGGGTTAGCAGG